CATGAAAGACAGATCAGTTGCCTGAGGCCTTGGCAACATTTGAGATTGCCTGCCCACCACCCTTAGCAGTATCAAGAAAATACAATGAAAAGCCAAATTGCCGGAAATTAAACCTCTGGTGAATGAAAGCTAAAAATTAAAAAATAAGACATTATAGAAAACCACTGGGCTCATGGATTAAGATTTCTGCCACCACTATATGTAGAGTGGGATTGCATTTTTATTGCATTAATAAGGAAGACAAATTACCAGATACATTCCACAAATACTAAGGGCTGCCTGGCGAGGCCTGGGAAATCCTGGCTACCTATGCTAGCTTGAAGCCTGGTCAGCAGCCTCAGGCCATCTGAAACAGAAAATTGCCAGGATTACTCATTTTTCCTTTTGTTTTAGTGTGTATTTTCCAAATGTTTTATGAAGAAATATGTTAAGTTTCACTTTTACAAGTTATTTAAAATAGTAGCTTTATAACATATTTTCTGATACTTGGTCCTTTTCCCATGAGAGTTTTTCAGTCTCATATTGCTTATGCCCTAGAGTCCTCTATCATCTTTTTAAAGGTCCTTTAAATCCATTTTCTGTATTATTAAAACTTTGTTAGAGTGCCTGTTCATGTGAAAAATAAGAGAAAAAATAACTGTATGTTTCCCATTTAATAACACAACACCATGTTTTGATAAAGTATCAGAAAATACAGCCTTGCCAGCTTGTGGGGGCAGATGATGTGCTCAGAGGTAAAGGAGGCCCAGGATGTAGTTACGATTTGCCACTAACTAGGCAGGGAGTCTAAAACAAATTCACATCACTTCACAGGCTACAGTTTGCACAAACAGAAAGTATAAGGACAGGCTAAATAATATACACATACCTTGCATCTTTTTAAGATTACTGTCTAGGGTTCCACACTAAAAAAATGAATGTATCTTCACTGTTGAGTTTTCTGATTAATTTAACTGCAGAAAATAAATGAAAGTTCTATTTGCATGTTGGAAAAATACTGAGAAACCTTCAAAGTTCAGACTTCTAAAGAGGAGGCTGTTGTGTGAATATGTAATACAGAATCACGGTATATTATTTTCCTTATTTTGACTTATGTTATTCTATTGCTACTAGTTTCCTTCCTTGGGATTTAAATGCATTCAAGTAGAGGTTTTCATGTTTGCAGAGTTTGTAGCTTTTAAGATCAGTCCATACATGCAGCCCAAAGTTGCTTCATTCCCCCAAAAGAAGATTTTCAGACAAAAATCATGTCCTCACTCACAATTTTTTGTTGTTACCATAGTGATAAGAATAAAGAATGAAAAAAAAGCTAAAAATATCTGAAGACATACAGACAGCTTTAGGAATCTGACCGACATGGTGTCATACACTGAAGAAATTAATCAACTGAATTAACTATAATGCATTAGGTGAAATGTTCTACGGGATGAGAAAATGCGTAGGTTGCACATCTGCAGCTATTACCCACAATCAAAAAAGTCAGTATGAATGAAGATGACTGACAATCTAAAAATGCATAAAATCCAATGCTCTTAAAAATAGAATATATATCACTAGCAAAAAGAAACCCATTACTTTTGCCCTTTTTCCCATAAATCTTGTTTTCTTATCATTATGTTAGAATATTTTCTCTATTTTAAATGAAAGCTTTCTATGCATCAAAAGAATTTTTAACAGGATGGAGCAATATAATTAGACATAAATTAAAATCGTAGTGCCCTCTATAAGAGAAGGCTTCCCAAACAAAATGTTTTAAAGTGAAGTTTTCTTTTGAAAATTATAAATTTTGTAACATTTTAATAGACTCAATCATTTACATAAAACTTACTGCATCACATAGCATTAAGCTAGTCTGTAAAAGGTTACTAAAAGGCAGCCCTTACTTTCAAGAATGTTTTAATCATCTATCTAATGATGGTTTTGTAGCATTGATTTTTTAAATACTAGCACGTAATAAAGCCAAAAGAGCACAGACTTTGGATTGAATGGACAGAGTTAAGGTTTCAGCTTATCAATGAACTTGGAAAAGTCTCTTTCTGAGCCTTAGTTCCCTCATCTGTACAATCAGCATAAATAAGTATATCACCTTCTTTAGCACAAATTCATTACAATAATTGAAACAGATTGCTATATAGATGGAAGACAATGGATGGTATTTAAATGAAAATCTCTATAAAAATGAATCAATATACAATTAGGTTCAATATTTAAACATTGTCAAAATAAAAATGACTATTAGAAATATAC